GTGAGGTTTTCCTCCAAGAATTCTCACTATTTTTGCAGCTGGCTTCTTTGTTGTGTCTTCATCCAGTAATCCAATTATTCTGCTGTTCTTCCTCTTCATAGCATCAGACACAGCTCTCTTCCCTGATGATCATATTAGACTTTTGTACACATTTGTTAAAGTCTGCTTGGCTGTCCTCTAGGTCACTGGTGTGGTTCTCTGCCTCCTCCAGTTGGTTGGCGAAGTCTGTGAGTCAGCTATTGGTTTATGTTACCTTATCCCTAAGGTCTTGTATTTCCCTTTGGTGTATGGCCTTTATCTCCTCTATCATTTCATCCTTTTCCTGAATTGTTTCCCTCATATACTATATAACTCTAAGCAGCATTCTGAAAAATTTCTGTGGCAGATCCATATCTGCTTCTTCTACGCATGTAGTTAGGTTCAGGAAATCTTCTGCCATTGTCTTTTGTTTCTCCTGTTTTTTTTGTTGAGGTCATTGGGCTGATTGTTGTTTGTGTTGTGTTGTTTTAGAGTAGCCCAGTTCCATTTTCCAGAGAGTCAAAGAGCAATGGGCTCTCTCTGGGAGACTCTTAGCAACGCTTCTTCAAACTGCCTGCAGCTAATTGCACTATGGAATTGGCCTACCGCTTTATCCTCCTGTGGCGCCACTCTTTCCCTAGTCAATCCGTATTCTGTTATTTGGAGAGCGAGTTCAATGGTCATCTAAAGGGATGCTGGTTGGGTGGTTGTGGACCCACAAGGATGGCGCTGCACTGGGTGATCTCACAAGAAGCCATCATGGTGTGGCCCCCCCGCAGCTTGGGGCATGGAAGAGGGTGTGTGGGGTTGCCTGCTGCCATGGGCAGATGTGTGTGCCCGTTTTGGTGTAGAGCACCGTGAATGGTGAGCAGAATTTCCCTGGTCAGCTAGATCGCCAGGGAGATTGGGCAGAAGTTCCTGCAGCAGCGTGGAGCATTGGAAAGTATTGGCCAAGCTGCTTTAGGCCGTGTGAGGCACTATAGTAGGTGGGAGGTAGTTCCCGCAATCACGTGGGACCACAGAGGATGGGTAGGAATACCCCCAGCCACGCAGACAGGATTTCCCAGAAAAGAAGGTGGCAGGATTTCCGTAACCACATGTTAAGTGCTACAGAAGGTGGGCAGGTGGAATTTCCCCTGGAGGAAGTTGGGTGGCATTTCTCCTGGAGTAAGGTGGGTGGGATTTCCCCCAGTAGAAGGTGGATGGGATTTCCTCAGCCTCAGGTTAGGCTGCAGAGTGGGGAGCTCCCTCAGCTAGGTGGAGGGAACATGTAAATGCCCTAGGCTATGGGGAGTGGCCTGCAGGGCGTGTGAGAGAACAGATAAAAAAAAGAAAAACTGAGCCCGCGGAAACTGTGGGGGGGAAAGAGAGAAGAGAGGGAAACAAAAGTAACAATATAGCTGAGCCCTGATCCCTGACTGTAGGGCTGGAGGGGTTTAAAACCTGCTCCCAGGTAGAGGCAAGGTATGGCTGTGTTGAAATAAAGTGCTTGGGCTGGCTTCCAAATGATCCTGGTTCTGGCCGAGACAGTGGCCGGGCTAAGGTTAAACCCTAGCTGGCCTCCTCTGTGGTAAGCCAAAACCCTTCCTCCCTTTCCTCCCTCCCTTTCCTTATCCTCAGAAAGTCAACATTCCCTTTAATGTTTCTAGGGGAAAATCTATCTTGGATCTAGTGCATCAAAAGATCTTGTTTGTACCCATGTATACATGCAAGACTGTCAAGATTAGTGAGGTAAAACTAGGGCCATAATAGTGGGAGGATGAAATTTTAAAGAATTAGAGGATAGTTGTATGATTCATCAGTGCTACACTGCACCCTAGATATATCATGCCTTCTGTGTGGCCCTTCTGTGAAGGACTGTCCAATTGTCTTACAGATGGACTTTGGGTCTCCACCTTGCTTGTGTTCCTTAATGTCAGTTTGATGGCTTGTTTTTGAACTTCTGATACTTTTTCCCGTCGACACCTCATGATCACATAGGCTGGCGTGCTTCTTCCATGTGGACTTTATTATTTCCTTGCTAGATGCTGCTTGTTTCACTTTAAGCCTTTCAGACCCCAGACACTGTATCTATTAATAGCCAGGCACCATCAGCTTTCTTCACCACATTTGCTTATGCGCCCATTTTGTCTTCCATGATCACATCGGGAAGATGAGTATCCTACATTGCCACATTATTAGAACAAACTGTTCTTGTACTGAGGTAAGATTTAAGTAGAGGCCCAAAGGTTGTCTGCTTCCTTGTTATACTTATTTATATACCTATATCTAGATAAATACAGCTGTCTTTATAGATTTATATCTTTAAATAGATACATATCTATATTTATACTATATATATATAATTTTTAGTCCCTAGTTGTTTTTTTCTTTTTGTTTTCTAGTCTTTTTTCTTGTCTATTTCTTTTTTTCCTTAAGTTTCTTTTAATATAAAAAGAGTTTTTTGTGCCAACAGTTTTATTGGCACCAAGTTCACATATCACAATTGAACAGTTCAACCATTAAATCACACCAAGGGGAATTGTAAAAAAGATTGTTGCTTTTCTCCCCCTCCCCATTCACTTTGTTAGAAAAGCTAAGTTATTTGTATATTAGAATTCTCTAAGTTTTGAGTTTTGCTGATTAGACTCTCCCTATGGTAGGTAACATGTTCCCATAATCTCTGCTTTTTTTTTTTTTTTTTAACTGAGAAGTCTTGATGCTTGACAGGATTCAGGTTATGATTTTTTTTTCAGGTTATGATTTTTATTTATTTGCATGTACACTTCATTAATGGTCTTCTGTACTTTCTATGCTATGTATCTCAGGCATATACTGTCTAGTTGTTTTTATTCTCATTATTTATCAGTAAGGTCAGGTGTTTAGAACCCAATTTATCTGTTAAAGAACTTTACATCAGGCTTTAATCTAATGTGTGGGTTTCCAGGCTTAATTGTCCAGCTGCCCCCTTTTCAGAAAAAAAAAAATACTCAGCCCCCTTCTGACAGTGGAAAACTTTTGTACTATAACCCACAAATCAAGATGAAGTGTAGCTATCTCATTTTACAGCCTTCTCAGTTCATTCCTGTGCCCCTAGGGGCTAGGATTTCTCACTCTGGGAAACAGATCTAAGGATTCTAAGAAACACTGACAATTATTGCCTTCACGCAGTTGTTGTTAGTTGCCATGGAGTTGGTTTGACTCCTGCCACCCTTGTGTGGAGGAGAACAAGATGACCCAGCCCTGCCCCACCCTTCTGATGGCTGGTATGCTTGAGGCAGAGTTGCAGCGATTGTGTCCCCCTCTCTCACTCATGGCTTCCTTTGCTTGTTTTTTGGGTTTTTTTGCTGACCTTCTACTTTATTAAATATTCTGTCCTTTTCTAGGGATTGGTCTTTCCTGATATAACATATCCAAAGTAAGAGACCCAAAGTGATAAAAAGTCTTCCCATCCTCTTTTCCTAAGGAGCATTCTGACTACTAGGCTTTCAAAATCGTGTCAGTTTAATTAGTATGTGTGTATTCGCTTGAATTCATCTACATAAAATAACTTTATTTCATCAATTGTCTTATTACCCTGAAGTACAGTTTGTACAGAAAGGTCTAGAGAAAAATCCAGCTATTTTATTAAATCAGAATTATGAATGTATTCCCAGGTATCCTCCAAAGGTAGTCAGAGAGTGGTTTGGCAGTTGTTGCTTTTAGTATATGATTATTAAAAACGCATTTAATTTCCTTCAGCCTCACTGCAGACATGACTTAGATGCTCATATTGGCCATCTGTGGACACCCTTTCCAAGGGGCTTTCCTGTCTTCTCAGCCTGACTCTAGGAGGCTTTGAGATCATCTTTGCCTTGTGGTTCCCTAGGGTGTTTTAGGTTATGTGGCCATCTGATTCTTACCAATGACCTAGAAGAATCTATGAAGGGCCTCATTTTTTTGTGCTGAGGAATTTGAGCATTTCCCTGAACATTATGAGAGCAAAAATCCAATGACT